GGGTTACGGGATAAATGCGATTGTGGTTTGGGGAATTCGAGACTCAGCTCTTTCCTACGTTGTGGCCTTAGGAAGACACTGTAAAATAAATTGTCCTCTTGGCCAGACCTTATCGATGGTGATCCTTAAATTTGGAGGTCCCGCCTCTTCTTATAATCTGACAGTGACGGTATTGCAAGTGGCGTTGAACCTGTGCAATATCACACGCTGACATCATGTGATTCATTTTCCAAATACTGAAGAATCCATCATTTTGGAAGAGACTGGTTGAACATGGAAAGTAACCCAGCATGCAAATGTGAGTGGCTGCGGGCGCTCTGGTGTTATAATTTGCTCCTTCTTTCCTATCTAACGTTTACTAATTACTCCTCCTTCTTTTCTGTGTATGTTACTATCTAGAAATATCTCTATTTTTCGGAATTTTGTATACTTAATTGTGCTGCAGGGGCCGTAAAACTCTTAGTAAAACTGAAAAAAAATGGTTTCTTTGTATGTTACTCTCTTACAACACCTTTTATCTTTGATACTTGTATTATGACTTTCTGGTGTTCAAGTGCCGTAAAACTGTTAGAGGGTGGTAAGAGGGTGCCACTAGCAGGTTCTACCTCTTTACATTCCTTCTGTTGTTTCTGTCTGTTTACTTTACTTTTCTTCAGTACTGGATGACAAGGGTGAGTGGTTGGCGGGTGCTCTGGTGTGGTTTGCATCTTTTTTCCTATCAAACATCTATCGCCCTTCTTCTTGTTTATGTTTGTTACTCTCTTGTAACGCTTCTGATCTTCTGGCGCTCATATGACCTTATGCAGTTGCGAGCGCGTAAAACATCTACTAAAACTAAAACTAAACTCTAATCTTCGGCACTTTTGTGACCTTATTGTGTTGCAAGTGCCGTGAAACTCAAACTAAAACCAAACTGAATGACCACTAATTTGTCAACATCCTGCGTGTTACTGAAACAAACACAATGAAAAGTTTTACTATTTTTTTCTTAAGTGAGACCAGGACAAGAAAGCTTTGCCCTAGCCAAGGACCTTACAACATATTAGTGTATAACCTCCTTGGGCCTAGCCCAGCGCTTTGTTGGCTGGCATGGCGACATGTCCAGTCAGCGGTTATTGGCAAAACCGTCAGCCAGGTTCATCTGTTATCTGCTTCCCCGTAGCAATATATTGAAAGGATTACAGGACAAACCCTTCAGACCCTGCCCCAACGCCGTACGTGAGCGATAAGATTTCATACAAATTGTCAAATTATGAGCACGAGTCCAAACTTTATCTTTGAGTAAGGCTGGCTGGTTTATAATTAAGTAACTGACTGCCGTGGTATAAAGTGAGTGTGTGTGCGTGTTTCTGTGTGTGTGTGTGTGTGTGTGTGTGTGTGTGTGTGTGTGTGT